CTGCACTACCCATAGTAAGGAATATGCCATAATCCCCATAGTTTAGGGTCCTCAGGGTAATGCAGGATCTACATCATCATCAGTATCCCGCTCTCTTCTCTTCCATCCTGTCCGATGCTATGCCTGCTATTCGATCTTATTGGGCCCAAGAGGCTTCGGCTCTCAGAGCTGGAGAACCCAAAGAAATCAACAACTCCAGTTCGAGGTTGGAGAGTTTGAGTTCACTCATGGGGCCCGTGGAAAGACGGGGGGGGGCGAGGCTTTGGAGTGCCTTTGTGCGGCGGTGTCCGCGGCGCTGTCAATCATGATAGGGTCAAGCATGACACCGACGCGAGGGACACGTGAAAGACCTCCTAGAGCATCCTGAGAAGATAGAAGCTCCCCGTGAGCCCGAAGGCTTGTCATTGCTCCTGTGGAGAGGGTAATCATACGGTCTTCCGATCATGTCCGTAGAATGGATCCTCAACGTACATCTGAGTGATGGAGCAGTGCAAAACCACCGACTCTTGTGATCAATCGAGACGGTCAGGCGAAGCTACGTGCCAACGCTGTGCCTCGCCTGGTTTAAAAGTTTTCATGGAGGGGATCATGGGACTTAGTACATGAGGCTATGAGTACCTCAATTGGGTGGTTTTTGAATCATCTGTTGAAAAAATAGTATACAGAAACCGTACCGCTAGAATGGTTACTGAACTTGGCTTTACGGCGTTATCTCTGCAGTGCTCTATAACCCCCTGCACTGATACTCCAAGCCTGGTATCGTTTTGGCATGCCCAGGAATGAACCGCAGGCTGTTCGTAGATTTCGCAGTAGTTTTCCCTCAGTTGTTGCTGACATCAGTTTTATCGGGTTGTCGCAGAAAGTGGGGTGCCACGCATGCCGTGCCGCTTGGACTACAGCAGGGCTGCCTTCACTGCCAGCGCTGCAGTCCTCGACTTTTTTCCACCACCTACATGTGTGTCGTCAGGGGTTCTTGTCCCTTGGTGCTGTCCCATTAACTGATTTAACCGTAAGCTGCAGTCCACCTGATTAATGCATGCTTGGCCCTCCTTGGCAAAAATAAGACTAATAGACAAAGAAATGCCAAAGGCAGCAGCATGAGAAGCATCAAGATAAGTCCAAGAGCGCCACAATGTCTACATCAATGGTGCTACACTATACAGGCTCAAGTACTACCAACGATGACATTAGCAGCAGGACAACCGTCGTAACACGACTATGCCTGCAGCAACTAAAAACCACTGCTCTGCTACTGAATAACTGCTTTTGCGGCTGCCACTGTCCGGACGACTACGACTGCCACACGAAGTACCTACTCTGCCAACGGCTTCGCTAAACTGCTGCCGCCGATGCTGGTGAAGGTCCTACTTGGCTGGGTTGTGCCGCGTGCTTTGTGACAGCCCTTCTGCAGCGCGCGAGAACTTCGATCGAGTGCAGAAGTATGCGAAGATGAGAAAACGCAACTCGGTTCATTATTTGCGAATCTTGGCACATGGACGGGAATTGCCTTTTTGCGCGCTCAGCCAAGCACGTATGGGTATTTCCGCTTTCGTAGATTGGAGTTGTGACAGGAAGCACATCCCGCACATATCCCGGTAGCAGAGGATAAAGCACCGATCAACGGACTAGATCCCTGCATCGCATGCACGTAATCCCGATGGTGGAGAGATTCCCGGATTCAGCTTACACACCGCGGTACACACCGCGGTACATACCTGCGATACCGTCCTGTCTTCGAACACCCCTGAAATGACTCCCTGCTTCCGGGACGAGCCATGTCATGTTGGCTGGGATTGAATCTTCAGTCATACACTGGGCAACGAGGCAACTGGCCTCCTGAAGACGACCTTGCTTTCCTGAAGGTCAAGGACCTCTGTGGAGGGAGCCTTTACTGAGAACCATGCCCGTGGCCGCTGTCACCGTCTGCACTGCAGAGTTCGCAAGTAGGTCTGTTGGCGGGTAGGCCTGGTGTACGGCCAACTGTTCCGTAGTCGGACGGTCTGACCTTACCCCCGGTTTCTTATAATAGACTTTAATATACTACATCATACCACAATATACTATAACATACTCTCCCTCTCTATCTATCTATACATATATTACGTATGATCTACTATCTATCTATCTATATATATTTTTTTTCTGATTGAGTACACTGTTCGACCAATCAAGCGAGCCTCAAGCCGGCGCGGGGCGACTTGTCCATGGGAGGTGCTTTCAGTAGACGCCCGGAAAGGCAGGGCTGCGAGCTGACGGGACAAGAACTGGGTTTAGGATTGGGGGTTTAGGGTGTAGGGTATAACAGCGTATCCGACAGATTAGCTCGTAAAATCATGAGGATTGT